CATGAGGAACAGCTTGCTGAAATAACAGGTATGGTCACAAAAGTCACCTCTTAAATTGCCATTTTTGGATAATATGACCTCAGAAATAGAATATACATAGAGAAAAAAAAAAAAAGGTCAGGGAATAAAGTCAGGAGAAAAGCTGTCACATTTGGAAAGACAAATGAAAAAAGAGATGGTAGCTAGGGAGGGGTAGAAAGAGATAGTAAAAAAAAAAAAAAGACAAGAGGGAATTGAAGAGTGATGTGTTTAACAGAAACACTTCATAAATGCTTACCCTCTTGGTTTAAAGAGTTATTTTGTCTCTTTGGATAGCTAGCATTCATTTGGTGGTGTATAATAGTAGCTTACATTTATTATGTATATAATATTATGCTCCTGGTATGGCACTGTAGGAGAAGCACTGGACTGTGAACCACAGGTCAGCAGTTCAAACCCACCAGCTGCTTCTTGGAAACCCTATACAGGGTCACTAGGAGTCGGAACTGATTTGACCACACTTAACACGAACAACAATATGCACATTGTCTAACGTGCACTTTATGCTATTGTTGAGCAGCTGACACTATTATTACTCTGAAGAGTCCCTTTTCATGGAAGAAAACACCAGTCATACACTGGTATTGGATGGGACAATACTTTTAGTTACACAGAGAAGAGATAGAATAAGGTCAGCTTCTGTAGTAAGTAAGTGTAGTCCCTGTGACCAGTGGGTCTTACTTGGCAGCCATTTCAAGAAGATGGTGTGCATACCCCCCTCTAAGGCTTCTGGAGAAAGTCCTCATTGTCCATGCCAGGTACAGATATAAAAGGGGGGTTGGCCATGAGCTACAGTATTCACATACTTTAACTATGCAGTTCCTGGGACTATTGATATGTGTTCAGGGCAAGAGAGAAGCCATGTGCTGATAGCCCATTAGCTGCTGTGGGATGTCTTTTGGGATCAAGATACCCCAGAAAAGGGAGTCATCAAAAAAAAAGCCAGACTGACACTTCTGGTCCTAAGCGCAAGATTCATTCCTTGGTCAGTGGGAAAGTTGGCAGATTGCATTCAGATGGCCTTCTTTTACACTTACTAATTCATTGGCTCCTCACAGTGGTCCTATGAGACAGGTAAAATCATTATCCTTATTTTAGAGGGGAGGAAATGGAGCTATATAGAGGTGAAGTAATTCTTTGTATCCACCATTTTACTGCCAGTATTTCAGTCCAATTTGCTCCAGCCAACTTACTTAATCACTGCAATATACTACTTGCTGTGGATATAGACAGGCATGTTTGGGTAGCTCTGAAGCATAGCAGATTAAAAAAGAGCATTCTCTGCCTTACCTCTCTCACAGAACAAATTTTAGTCCATTATTTTTGTTTGTTTTTTAATTCTCTTATAAAGGTAAGGTTTCGCTTGTACTTACCTTTCAGCAGACCAGTAGAACTGAAAATGCTTCAGAACAGTGTGCATTTAATGTTGAAGACATCCCAGAAGTGTCATTCCTGCTCAGGTCATCATTGATGTGGGTGCTCGTGACTGAAAAGGCTAGTAGAAAAATAGCAGTGGAAGAAACCCACACAAGGACAGTCTGGATGGCAGTGTCACCTCATCCATCAGTTTTATAATAGTGTTGGCCTTTGTCAACATTTTCCTAAAGGAAAAATCATAAGGCAGCAAAACAAAGAACCACAAATGAACAAAACTGGTTAAGACCTCCTTGAAGACTTGAGAAACTTAAGTTTTTGCTTCAAAAGGCAGTCACTCAGTCATGTGCTCTCTAGAGAATGCTGCCTACAATTGTTACTATTTCACATCTGCTGCTCGAATTTTCTCCACCTTTCCTAGAGTGGAAAATTTTTGTCAATCCTAAGTGTCTTTTTTCATTTTCAATACCAATTCACAGAAAGAATCTCAGAAATATCAGTATGAAATTTTGTTTTGAGTTAAGGTTTTTTTCATTAGCAGAGAAATAGCAGAAGAGGTTTTTATATTTCCATTTTGGATTCATATGAGAAAATGCAAATGGATGAAAATCTATTATGCTTTGTGTTGAACAACTACCTTTTCCTTTTTCCAGCAGATTACGCAGATTCTGTTAAGGCACTGTTCACTGGTATCTTTCTCAATATGATGTTGAGGTGGGGTGGGGTAATGCATCCTTATCATCAACTTGCATGTGTGACATGACTTATATGTTAAAGCCTGGTACAATTCGTTCTTAGAGTTTATTCTTTTGTCATAATATTCACTGGCTGAAATATAAACCTGCCTAAGCAGATAATACCCTTCAGAGGATTTTATCATACTAAAGCTTCTCTTTGTCCTGCACATTGTGAGTGTTCCCTTACTCTTCCATTTTCATTTCATTAATGCTATATTGGCCCTTTAAATTTTTTCTGCAGTGAAAAAATTCATCACAATTTTTCTCACAATGAAATTGTGAAATAATGTTAAAAATTTCTTGCAACTTATACTGTCAGTAAGTTTGACGTATAGTATGTGGATTACTAGGTTTGTTGCTAGAAATGTACACAACTCTGACAGACTGTTTACAAGTTTCCCTCCCTTAAAAAAGCCTTTCTACAGAGTTGGTTATGGGATAGAACTAATAGCATGTAGGAAACCTGGGTTGGGGAATATGTTTCTCTACATTTCATGGAGGTATCACTGAAAGGGTGAGGTACTGTCTGAAATAAAATGTGCTTACTAGTTTTCTTCACTGTCTTCACAAAGCTGTATCCCAGAATACTTTCCCATTGAGCTGCGCACTGCCCTGGCTTTGATAGTGTGAGCTTCTCAGTATTCATATTAGACAAATTCACATCATTACCTAAGTGAATGTTTAGTAGAGGACAGTTGGGTTTCTGTTTGGAATTGCTTGGCATTAGCACTCTGAAATACTATTTGGCAGTTTTTCATACTTCTTTTAAATTTTAATTGTAACCCATCAAGTCTTAAGCAATTTCTTTTGGGTTTGACTCTTGATGAATGTCATAACAGGGTGTTTTAATTTAATGAATCCAGAATAACATCTGTTTCTAATATTTTAAAAGCCAATTTATATGGAAATTCATTTAATACAGAGTCAGAGTACAGGGAGACTTGTAAAAATCAAAATCAAAACAGAAAATCCAATCACTGTGATATAGTAGGTCTTCTGTTAAGAAAGGAATTCACTTATAACTAGGTTGAGTTACCACTAGCAAACACCCAAAATATCACAGTTTTTGCAAGATAGCAATTTAGGTTTCATACTCGCCAAACAGAGAAGTATTCATGAGTCAGAGGCTACTTGACAGAAACTTAACAGTGACAACAATTAGGGTTGGTGGTTCATGGTGACAAAGGCATAATTTCTTTCCATTTTACTGCTTTCCTCTGGGCTGCCTGGTTTCTATTTCTAAAGACCCTATAAGAGCCAAGATGGCTGCTGGAACTCACATACATCTGTGTTCCACCCAGCGGGAAGGAAGTAATGGTAGAGTGGAAGAACATACGGACTTTTTTTTTTAAGGATGATACTTCCTGGAAATGTCTTATACTCTGCTTACGTACCACTGGCCACAAATTAATCACAAATTAATATTTAGCAGTGAAGGAAGATAACAGAATCTTTTTTCCCCAGATGCTAAAGATTAGAGAGTTGTGTTAATATTAAAAAAGGAGAAATAAAGTTGTGTTAATATTAAAAATAGGAAGCGATTAGCTATGCCTATCACACTGAGTATTTTGCTTGACATGATCTTAATTGATATTCTGCCTGTTTTACTGAACATAACAGAAAAGTCACTGGCTCTCATATGTAGGTAATGACTGCTCTTCATGGTCTGTTCCTGTTTGGTGGTTTAATGGCAGGATTCTTGCATTCTAGACAGGAGACCCAGGTTCTATTCCTGGCCAGTACACCCATTCACAAGCACTACCCATTTGTCAGTGGAGGCTTATGTGTTGCTATGAAGCTGAGCTTCCAGATAAAAGGGGACTAAGAAGAAAGGCTTGGTGATCTACTTCCAAAAGTCCGCCAGTGAAAACCCATAAACCACAATGGTTCAGTTTGCAAGCAATCATGGAGATGCTATAGGATCAACCAGGCAGTGTTTCATTCAGTTGTGTATTGGGTCTGCATAAAACAGGGGCAACTCAATGGTAACCAACAACAGCAGTCCTGCTCTTTAGATTCTGTCTACTGAAAGTGTAGTCCAGTAGCATCTACATCACATGGTAGCTTATTAGAAATGTACAGTATCCTTCAGTCTACTGAATCAGAAGCTACGTTTTAGCAAAAGATCCCCAAACTGATTTGTATGTATGAGAAGCACTGATAACCTGTGTAAAACTTAACTTTCACTAGGGAGTGGTCATTACACTCTAAGCATATTCCTCACATCAACATCATCTGGGTTTGCACTTCTTACAAATGTATATATTCTGTGTCCTTACATTAATCTTGGACCTGGAATCTGCATTTTGAGTGTAGTACTTGACGTGATTCTCATGAACATTTGACAATTGCTGTGGAGCAGTTCAAGTATTCAGCTGATAAATGAAAGGTTGGCAGTAGGAACTCAGTTGCTCCTTTGGGGAAAGATGTGGCAGTTTGCATCCATAAAGATTTACAACTTTGGAAAGCCTCTGGGGCAGTTCTACTCCATCCTCTATATAGGATCACTTGGCGTTGGAATAGACTCAACAGTAGTGGGTTTGGCATTAAGGCTTAAACTTCTATTCTTTAAAGCTGTTTGCACGCCAACATTGAAGAAAACTTTGAAAGGAAAGAAATAAAGTTATAATTGTATTGTTTATAAGCATGAATGGGGGACTTCCTGAAGGACAAAGAAAGGCATGTCTTAATTCAGCTTCTGTGCAAAACTTTCTATAAGGCAGTCCTCATTTGCATGAATCTTGTATCCCTAGTATCTCATTATAAATCCACATAACACTGAACAATGTTATATTTTTCTGTTTTTGTATTTTACATTTGATTTTTTTCCCTTTACATTTTGTTTTGTAGCCGTGCTATTAAGACCAATCAGGACCTTCTCCCAGAAACTCCATGGACGCATATTTTCTACAATGATTTTTGGGGGACTCTTCTAACTCACAGCGGCAGCCACAAGTCTTACCGGCCACTCTGTACTCTTTCTTTTCGCCTGAACCATGCCATCGGAGGGCTGAATCCTTGGAGCTACCATCTTGTCAATGTCATATTGCATGCAGCAGTTACTGGTCTGTTCACAAGCTTCTCCAAGATACTCCTTGGTGATGGATACTGGACCTTCATGGCTGGCTTGATGTTCGCCTCTCACCCCATTCACACGGAGGCGGTGGCTGGAATTGTGGGAAGGGCTGATGTCGGAGCTAGCCTCTTCTTTCTTCTCTCCCTGCTCTGCTACATTAAACATTGTTCTACAAGAGGCTACTCATCCAGGACGTGGGGCTGGTTCCTAGGGACGGGACTGTGTGCAGGATGCAGCATGTTATGGAAGGAACAAGGAGTGACTGTTCTCGCAGTTTCAGCAGTTTATGATGTCTTTGTCTTTCACAGGCTGAAAATGAAACAAATCTTGCCTACCATTTACAAAGTAAGTGATTGTTGGTTCTTGAGTATAGAATTACTGAGTTGCTTGCTTGGTCCCTTTCTACTATTTAAAAAGCAAATTTGTTCCTCTTCAAGTAGAATTTAAAATGTTACTATTTGATCTCCAGTTAATAGAAATGCCCTTTTTGACCTTTTTTTTTTGCTAAGCTGGGTTTCAATCACTGATTGTTTTGTTTCTCTGGTTTTTTAGCTTATTTCCATGATTTCCAAAGTGGTAAAAGAATACTTTTTCCTTGTGAGGAATGTGTATCTTGTGACTTTTCTTTATTTCTCCCCATATTCTCTATAATCAAAAAATTGTCCATAATGTGTATTTTTTTAAAAAAATATTACTGCTGGTAGTAGAGTTAGATGCTAGAATTAGTAGAAGGGAAATCCTCTGCTATTTGTTAATATTACTTTTCTTGAATTGACTTTGAAAAACAGCTTTTCTGTGTAGTGTACTGGGGATTTCAAATTCTTAAGTAGTGAATCATACTCACCTTTTCTTTGTTGTTGTGTGTAAGAATAGATGAGTCAAAACTGAAATTGGTTATTTTAAGTTTTGTCTTGAGGCCAAATGAGTGAGTGAGTCCTGTACCTCAGAGCTTAATACTTGTATTTCTATATTTCCTTGGTGTGCTACTGTGGGATAAAGCAATGGACCACAAAGTTGGTGGTTCAAACTCACCAGCTGCTCCTTGGAAACCCTATATAGGTCCCTATGAGTTGGAACCGACTTGACAGCATTGAACAACAACATATTCCCTTAGATAAAGAATTAATGTTTCAACACAATGTTTTTTCAAAGTCACAGAATCATTGTGGCATCCCCATACTCTTAAAGAGAACTGAGCACTTTTCCACTTGAGCTTTAAGGGGAGGCAGTGGGAGAAGACAAGAGCATCTAGAGAGAACGATTTGCTTTTTCACCTCCTCATCCTGCCTCACTAGAAATACACTCACCCTTACTTTGACTTTTTCAGTATGGAGACTGAAACTTGGCTGGAGTTTTCAAACCTCAGCCATGTTTTAAGCAAGCTCCTGTCTTTCTTTTGGATACTTAGCAGGGAATTATGGTTTTGGATACTTGCCCTGAGAAAGCTGGCAAGTTTTCCTGGTTGTGACTCCCCCCCCCCCCACCTTAATTTCCAATTTCACTTAAAATTGAATTGGGAAGAAATTAAAATAAGGAAAAAATAATTGAGCAAGATATGAGCTGAAACACTTATTTTTAAAAAAAGCTAATTTTCCCACCTAGTAAGCAGGGTAATCACTGCTGAGCTTCTGTTCTGTGGGGAAACATCTTACCTTTTCACTTAGAACTCCAGAATCAAATGCTTAATGAAGTCCTTTGGTGACTTCAATTAAATGCTGAAACTTTAAAAGAAAACTGTGTTTGGAGTTTGGCACTTGAAAACAACATAAAGCTTGAAAGTCAAGCTCTTATTTACATTTATCTTAAATCATTCTTTCAAGAAGATATAGCAACATTAATAATTTCTTTGCTTTTAAAATGATGTCATCAATAATAACAAGTTTCCTTGTTAGTTCTGGAAATAGAAATAGAATAAGGATAATTCCAGGTTCTGGAGGTTGTGTTCCATTGGAGGATGAGGCTCTCGCAGTCCTGAGTAATTGCACACAGTGGCTGTTGTAGGATTTCTCATTGATAGCCAGTGAAAGAAACATTTTGGTTGGTTATACAAAATTTCCATTTGACTCTCTCATAAGTTAGGGAACTATTCTAATATGTGAATTCACAACTTGCTGTTAGGATATTTTGAAAATTTCTTCTGAGAAATCTTCACTTCTCGAAGCATGTTTCCCAAAGCAGAGCTGTTGACGGAACTCCTTACCATAATTATGCCCCACACAATATTTGGGACAGACGTATAATTGAAAATGTTTTATTTGCAATTAAAATTTAACTGATTATCTAGTGTTTTATCTAGTCACCCGAGTCTTGTCATTGCTGCTTTAGAAAATGAGAATTACTGGTAGTGAAAGAAATCCTAAGAACAGAGTGTGTGAAGTCCCCTCATGCTAGCAAAAGGACAGAATGCTCTTGTGGGGTTAGTGTCCTGTATCTCTGGATCTCTGGAAACCATCTTTTGCAGGACCAGGCACAGCAATACTAGCAGTGGGGACAGCAAGACCCTTTATCTGGTATTTGCTGTTTCAATTTAGGTCTTTTTTTCAATCTCTGGTTTTGCAGCCATGAGCTTCATGAAGACATTGGAATAGCATAGTTCATAAGCTTGGAAGGGATTATAGAGATTATTTATGCCAGTCCCCTTATTTCCAGTTGAGGTATAGAGAAGCAGAGAGGTGAAGATCGCACAGAAAATGGTATAATCACTAGGACTAGACCCCATATTTCTGACTTGCCTGTCTAGTGATCCTTTTACTGCACTCCGGAGATGTGAAGTTGAGCAAACAGCTGTAAAGTCAGATGACTTCCCAGGAGAAAGAAACATAATGTGCATTGAATCTTACCTCCCACTTGCTGAGCATCCGTGTGCTGGTTCAAGGATCTGTCTCTTTGTCTCCATATGGAGACGACAGTTCTTTTCTTTCCTTGAGTTGTTGTGAGGATTATATTAAATTGTGGGATGTTCCATGTGAAGGGAGGTTTCCAGTGTTTGGAAGGCATCTAATATATGTTAGTTTAAGGAAAAGAAGAAATATCAGTGGAACCTATCATTCTTTATCTTAAGAAAGTTAAGACCAAAAGAAACTTTTCGTAATCTTTAAAGTTCTGGTGGTTTGGAAGCTTATGATTTTAAATAGTAATGGCCAAGGAGTCCCTAGGTGGAGCAACTGGTTAAGTGCTGGATGAATAGCTGAAAGGTTGTTAGTTCAAGCTCACCTAGATATACCTTGGGAGAAAAGTCTGGCCCTGTGCTTCTAAAAGTCACAGCTATGAAAACCCTTTAGAGAACAGTTCTACTGTCCAACATATGGCGTCATTATGAGTCAGAAATCACTCAACGGCAACTTGGGGGGGGGGGAAGGAAAAGCATTGTCTAAAGCTAAAGCATGTGGATTTAAGCAAACTTTAATTTAGAATTTTATGACTGTGAGGCTTGTAAACATTGGCATAGATTACATATGGAAGTTATAGAAAATTCCATATTCTGTCTTCAAAATATATAGGTTTCTATGCCTGGGGTGAGTTAAAAGAGATTCTTTCTGAAGGAAGTGGATTAAAAGACTTTGGAAAACTCTTTTTAGCCTTAAAAGAATAATCATCTTAAATATCTTACCAGTTAACCCTGCATCATGGTTATCATGGTATGCCAGATGAAATAAACTTGCCTGCCGTATTAAACATAACTTGTATATAAACAGAAAACTCCAGTGTACAAATGTTTAACTCTATTATGCAAATTAGAGAACCAACCAAATACTCAAAACCTAAAAATGGTGGTTCTCTTAAAGCTGGAAATTGTTAGGATGAGAGGAGTGTTGCACTCCACTTTTACAGTTTTGTCAGTAATGTTTTTACCATGAACAATCACACTCAGCTTCTCTTCACAGTGTTAGGGGTTTGGTTCTGCAACTCTTATCAAAAGTCAGATCCTGGCCCCCAAATTCAACTGTCTATCAGAGACAGACAGGGAACTGAGGTGAATTAGGGAGGACATGTTCTGTGCATACAGGGGGGACCCTGGCACTTGTCATACCTCATTGTTACAGTAAGAAAATGCACAGAGATCTGGAATTTTCTGTTACATCCTCTATTTTTAAATATTGACTATCAATTTAAAACTAAGTAGACAACACTTCTTGGGTCAGACAAAATTCTTAGAATGATTGAATTTGGCCAGAAGTCGAGGCTGCCAATGTTTGACTTCTTTCAAAAGCTTATGCAAATAGGTGCAAGTCCAAATTGTATACAGGAGCCTTGTGATTCTGTGAAGAATAGGTGAGGTTTATATTTTTCTTTGATACAGTATATGAAAACTAGTAAGTACCTCACATATTTGATATGCTATTTGGTTATGAGGTGGGCTGCTAACCTCAAGGTAGGCAGTTTGAAACTTGCAGTCATTGTATGGGAGAAAGATGAACATTTCTGCTCCTGTAAAGATTTATAGCCTTGGAAACCGTATTCAGGGTCTCTGAGTCAGAACCAATTCAACAGCACATAACTACCACCATTTAGTATTTAGTAGATATTTTATTTAGTATTTAATAAATGTTATTTGCATTTGCCTGTATTATCTGAGTGTTCTAAAAATATTAACACACTTAACATTATTTAATAAGTGCTGAGAGAGATGATAGGCACTTGTGAAATTATAGGGTTGAATCTGGCAAACTATAATTTTGTCAATAGTTAGAACGCTTAGTCAGTAAAAACTAAATATAAAATGTTCACAAATATATATGAACAAAAAAAATCAGTACTTAAAATATTCTTAGTTCTTAGCCTCAGAATTTAGTGTGTCTTCTAAATTACAAGTATGTTTGCAATCTAGAGCAGTGATTGGCATATAGTAGGTAGTGTGATGTAGGATAAGCACTGGACCACCAGGTTGATTTGGACCACAAGATGGCAGTTCCAACCCACCAACCACTCTTCAGAAACCATATACAGGGTCCTGTGAGTCAGAACCAACTTCATAGCTCTTAACAACAACAGCAGGGAACTCAGTAGGAGTCCTGGTGTGGCACTGTAGGATAAGCAATGGACTGTTAACCACAGGTTGGCGGTTCAAACCCACCAGCTGCTTTTTGGAAACCTTATACAGGGTCACTATGAGCTGAAACCAACTTGATCCGCTCTTAACATTAACAACAACCAAGGTATTTTGTAAATTATTGAATTCACACTTGGTTAATAGTTACCTTTTTAAGGTTTGTGGCTGAGATCCTAACATGAAATCCTGCATTTGCTTTTCTATACAATGACAATTTTTTTCCTAGGTTGGGGCTGGAAAATAGAATTGAAAGACATGCATATCAGAAAAATGTTGAAAAATAAATTTTCTTAAC